TGGATGAGTCGAGATGATAATTATAATTGACTGGATATTTCTTACGTGTAGTTGACAACACCTTGCACTTAGTAGCGTTGAACCTGATATTGTTATCGCGGCTCCAGATTGCCAAGTTGGATAGGGTTTGTTGAAGATTTTCAGAGTCCTCAACAGATGTAATGTTCTTTTATAACTTAGTATCATCAGCATATAAAGCAGCGATTATACCTTCTGGAAGGTCATTTATGAAAAGGATGAAAAAAACTGGACCAAGTAAGCTCCCCTGAGGAACTCCAGAGGTGACAGGAGCCCAGTCAGAGGCTACACCATCAACAACTACTCTCTGTTTGCGTCCAGTAAAATAATCTCCAAACCAATCGAAGAGGTGCCCAGATATTCCAAACGATTAGAGCTTGTCTAGGAGAATTAAATGGTCCGCGGAATCAAAGGCTTTAGAGAAGTCAAGGTATAGGTGTCAGTCTGAGTGTTCTTGTCAAGGTATCGTCCGACAGAGTGAAGAACTTGGAGAAATTGCGTTGCACATGAACGTTTCTCAAGGAAACCGTGTTGAAGAGGAGTGATGAGATTGATAACATGGTCGTACAGCCTTATACAAACACAGCGTTCTAGTACTTTGCCAARTATGGACAGGAGAGAAATTGGACGGTAGTTTTCAGCAAGTTCCTCTGAATCKTTTTTGTGTATTGGAGTGACATCAGCCAGTTTCCATTCCGAAGGAAGTTTTCCCAAGAGTAAAGAAAGATTGAACATATTGCAGATGCTAGGTGCTAATTGGTGACCACAGTCCTTTAGGAGACGAGTAGTGACGGCTAGTGGGGAGTTCGCGACTCCGCCCAATACCGAATATACTTTCTTCAATATTTCGCCGTCAATATTTCGTGCTATTGTCGTTTCAAAATCGTAATTAGTTTTGTATCGCGATTCTAAAGAATTTAACATACGAACAAGAAAAGAAAAAACTGACCGATTTTCTTTGATCACAAGCGAAATTCTCCTTACGAGCGCGCGCTATGGCGCAAGCAGCAAGCGTAAAAATTTGACGCGCGCGCTTCAAGCTCAAGCTCAAGCTCAAGCCTTCCTTTTCGTCGCGCTTTAGCCAATGAGAACCCTTAATTTTGAAACGACAATACCATAAAATATTGTCGTCTTAAAAATATAAGAGACTATTGAGAGTGA